CGTCATCGGTGGACGATCACTTTGGGAGGTGCCAGTTAGTTCACCCCAACTAGTTTTTCGGCCGTCCGACAGACGATCGTCAAGCTAAGAGTTGAGCAAAGAAAGCAACGCCAACGGGGGAGGGGAGGGGACTCACAGGCTAATCCTCAGGGGGGATTTCTGTCGCAGTTCCTCGACATCATTGAAGATGACAGCAGAGCCCCCGCCGGCCGTAGGCAAAATGGAGCCCTAAAAGAGGAGGAGGCGGTTAGAAGTAGGCACGCGCAAATATACACATACAGTATTGCGAGTGCTGCAAGAAACTTTGAAGACGAAATTTAACTTGATAGTTTATCATATATTTTGCCAGGTTATTTTGATCAACTGAGTAAATTTAATAAGTAGAAAGGCTATAGTTTGGAAAACTGCCCTCTTAGTTAAAATTAGGGAAAGAAATACACACTAATTTTGGTTGAATCATGAGTAAGTTTATAAGGAAGAAATTTCCTATGCCAAATTTTGCATTAATATACATTGTGCTACGGAAAATTCCAGGATAAGTAAAAAAAAGTGGAAAAATTATCCCTCCCAGAACTGGTAAATTTATCCGAATTTACTCAAATGGAAGTGAAGTCAAGTCTAAGCAATCGAATTTATATTCAGAAACAAGCAGCAATTGAAGCTTTAAAATCAGGTTCAGCTAATCTATGAAGTTTTTTTGTACATTTAGTAACAAAAAGCTTTCGTCGGAATTTTGTTTTATCGCATCGCTCTACTCTTGCGTAAGCAAAGTGCCCGCATATGTTACCGCAAAGGTAATGTAAAAAAGGCCTTATTGAATTCAAGTCATGCAGAAATATAGTTTTTTTGTTAACTATACATTCCGCTTATGCGTTATTTAGAAACGGAACAGACAGAAGAATAAAAAGTATTTCAAAAAATGGCCAATCTTTTTTGCATTCGCAAGCTTATAGCAGATCGTGGAATTATTTCATGCGGAAAATAATCCATCATAAAGAGGAAAGTAAGTTCTTTCATGTCTACTCAAATTGAATCGTTTACCTTCAGGTAAATTAAAGAAATTGGCAAAAGC